CCCCCGGCGTCGTGGATGGTAAGTTAAGCTATGAAGTGATTAGTTCTTTTTGCGCTTTGTTCGCCATCGAGGTACGACGCCGAGTCTTTTTCTCCCATCATTCTGGAGGAGGCTATTACCTTAGTCTACGCTGTCTTGCTTCAGTGCCACATCAAAGTACCTTTTCAGTTCCTACGAGAAGATCGACACGTGGAATCAGCAGAAATGAGAGGGGAATGTTCTGTCTTGTCATCTATTATCGTGTCCATGCTCAATGCCCTTCGAAGAATGCATTCGAGCAAGATCACACCGTATATCTCAGTATCCTGTCCAATCGCACATGCATATCCATATCCACAAACGACCACCACAATATACATCTCAAACCCATATAAGGAATAAACAAAACACAAAAAAAAAACTCCAGGGTATATGTTCCTTTTTTGTAAAATCCAAACACTGACTCAAAAAAAACCGTAACGACCTCATAACTCCTGTTTGTCCAACGCCCAGATCTCCCAATGCTGCAGGACTTCCCACCCGACCCGACGGACTTGGCGGCGCCATTCGCGACCGCGGGGATCCCGTATGACTTTGGGGAGACAAAGGCCGTCCTCGTCTTCGATTGGGGACTGAATTGTCTCCACGGTGCGGGCGGGTGGGGTCTCTTCGTCATCCGGACGGCTGCGTTTACCTAGGACGGAGGGTGGAGATTGCCGGTTGCTGCTGGTGGTGTAGTTGGTGTTGAAGGCGGGGATGATCGAGGCGTTGTACGTGTTGTGATGATGGTTGCCGTTGAGGAGGTCTTTCTCCGGTACCGTAGCATGATTGGATTGCTGCTGCTGCTGCTGCGAAGGACTCTTACCGGCCTCAGTGCTTGGGGCGCGGGTGGTACTCGGGGTTTGAGGCTCGACGGCGTGGCCATTCGACGGTTCCGTGGGAATGGTGTAGTGTTTACCTAAGAGGAAGGCTTTCCGGCCGAAGCCGAGGACTTTCAGACGGTGGAAAATCTGTTGATCGGCGAGGGCAGCGCTGAATTTCTCGATGAGAATCTCATCGTCGGCTTCGACGAGTTCCTGCAGAGTGCGTGCTGAGGCGAGGGGGTTGGCGGTGCGGGAGAAGAGTTTGGAGGTCTGGCCGGTCAGCAGCTTAGACGAAGACTGGGTGGAACGGGCTTGATCCGATGCTGGGCCGGTGGGAACAAGGATGCGAAGTGCGGTCAATTGGCGGAGGAACGGTAATAGTAGACCCAAGGTGTCCATGGTCGAGAAGTCTGCGGCGAAACCTAATTGTTCGAGTTGCGGACTGGCGTGCACAAGGCGCGCTATCGTGTTGGCCGACAGTGGCCAGCGCGCAGGGAGCAGAAGGTGACGGAGAGTGGAGGCATGGTTCGAGATGATGTTATTCAGGTAGCAGTCACGGATAGTTGCTTGCAGGCTAGGGGAGTTGACCGGGGTGTTTGCGGCAGACGAGTACGTCACCGAGCCGTTGGTGTCGGACTGTGGTGGGGTGAGTGCCGTGGCAGCGACGGGCTGTCGCGGGGAATTGATGTCGTGGCCCGGATTGGAGCTGGCGTTGACGAAATACATCTTCTCCAGACCGGTGAAATGACCTATGAAGTCGGCATGTCGTCGCGACAACGCATCTTGTCGGATACATTTGATATGGATCTCAGTCTGGGGGACTGTCGGCCAGGTGCTGTCCACAAACGTGTTCATCGAGACATCCGAGCCTATGTCGTTGAGAATCGTCACCTCCTCCATGGGTTGCTGGGCGAAGGCAAGCTGAAACTCCTCGGTATGCAGCGCGTACAGATTCTGCAGCCCAATCTTCCGGATGGACAAGGGTCGTTTCGCCGCGATACACTTGCGGAAGTAGTCGTGGAGCATGACGCTGGGCTCCTGCTCGATACGCATGCGCGGCGACCAGTGCAATTTCAGATCCCGCAGCTTCCTGCACCGGAACAGCAGCGTGGAGATGTCGTCCGGATAGCAGAGTGGATCGATGTCGGTGATCTTCAGGGACCGGAGTTGGGGGATGGCCGGGATGATGATGGTCGGCCGCGGATGGCGGCTCGACGGAAACCGTAAAGTCAAGGAAGTGAGTTTGGGTAATTGTGCCAGCCCCAGATACACCGTCTCCATCATCTTGGTGTTGAGCTCCCAGCTGAAGCTCTCCAGGTCCGGCATCTTGTCCACCGCCGCCCGCACCGCGATATTCAGCATCATCGAGGAGTCCGGCACTCGGCCCACCCGCGCATGCTCCTCCAGCTCCGACTCGCGCCAATTTCCCCGGAGCGTCAACGATCGCACCAGGTTGGCGTACGGGCGCGTGATGACGGCGTTGAGCCCCATGGAGAATGGGCTGGCGCTCCCCATACCCTCTGGCTGGTCATCCCGATAGCGGATTTTGTCATAGGAGGTCAAGGTGATGTTCTTGTAGAGCTGGGGCAGAGTCATGTAATTAAGCACGCGGCATGTTCGACAGAGACGAGCGAGATCACCAGGATCATCGAGCTGTGAGATGTCTCGAAGGTTAGCATATTACGTAGTAATGTTTACCGGAGAATAACAAGGGCTCGTGGAGGACGCACGGAGGTAATAATGAGAGCGATCAAATTCAGCGGCAGAACGAGTAACGGAGCACCTTTGGGCCGATCCGTGGTGACACTGGCTTCAAACATGTTCTGATTCACGGTCGCCATGATGCGACATCTGTAAGGGGGATGGGCGTGGCATGGACTGTAGTGAAAACAAGACAGGTGAAGAAGCTCAGGGCACAGGCAGACATTTGACTACGCACGGGGATTAAGGTAAGTTAGCAGGAAGAAAGAGGCGGCAGCGGCAGCGGCAGCGATTAAAGAAAGAAAGTGGATAAGATGGGAATTGAGTGAGTGAGTGACGAAGGGAAATGGAATTATGGAATCCCGGGGAAGCTTTTATGCTCGGCTGACTCAGATAGCCAGACCCCCTCATCCTCATTGCACTTTAGCTTACCTGCGTGGACTCTGCAACACCCTAGAAATTCAGAGATACATTTACATTGCTTATCGCTATTAGCATATGATCGCATCCCTACAAAGTATCATCTTATCACTAAATTGTGCCCCTCCCGGCAATTAGACTCGATATCTCTAGCGACATTCAGCTTCTGGCATGGCATGTCAGTTCCGATGCACGGAACTCTAATTATGCGCATAACTCAAGCAAGGGTCAAAAAAGGCACATGCTTGTAACGTTATTGAGTAGTAGTAGCCTTGTGCCTATAATAAGACTTTAATCTAAAAAAAACTCCAAGACAACTCCGAACTCTCCCCGAGGAAAATCATCAACCCTCCAACCTGCCCAAAGTTCAGACCTTAATCGGCCACGCCCCCAAGGTAAACTGCGAATTACACATATTGGTCAACTCCCAGGTCTCGGCGCCCAGCACCGCGGGACTACCCTCATCCTCCCAGTCGCCCATCGCCCCGGCCACGAACATGGCGGCCATGAAGTGGTCGTCGGTGGCATGCGCATCGCGGTACTCCGGATGCTTCATGAGGCGGGTCATGGCGCGGCGCAGCTGCGGGCCGGAGGTCTTCATAAGGACGTCCTCGACGGCCTGCCGGAACTCCAGCGCCCAGGCTTCGGGCGGCGTCTCCATGGCGAAGTTGTCGCGGAAGCGCAGCATGGGCGCCCAGCGGTTGCGGTACAGGTTGTGCACCGCGCCGCCCGTGCCGATCAACAAGTAATTCTCGCGGCGGAGCGGGCGCAGCACCGCGCCGACCTTCAGGTGGAAGTGCGGGTCGTAGCGCGCGTTCAGCGAGATCACCGTCGTCGGCGGGCAGCCGCGGGGGAACATCCGGATCAGGATCAGGTAGACGTCGTGGATCCATTCGAAGGTCGCGTTGCCGCTGACGTTGAAGCCCTCGCGCGCCAGGAGCTCGATGCACCGCTGCGAGGTCGCCAGGTCCGGGTTGAGCGGGTAGTCGACGTATTTCGCCGGGTCGACGTAGGCCACCGGGCTTTTGCCGGGGTTCGGGTTCGTCGCGACTTGGATCTGGTCGTTGAAGCAGTCCCAGTGGGCTCCCTGAGGGGGTTGTCGTGGTTAATTGGCGGGAAATTGCTGTCTCTTTGGTGATGGCTTGTTCCTTACCATGATCACAACGCCCTTGATCCCATGCGCAAGTGCTTCATCACCACACTTGCGCCAGTAATCGGCCGAGGTGCTCTCCTCGCCCAACATCATGGTAGAGCCATGTGAAAAGAAATGGACCGGTGTCAAACCTACAGTTGTTTAGTAAGTGTTGTCTAACATGCAATGGTAGCCGCCCATAGAATCGAACAAGTATGCGGTCCACATACCCATCTTCTGTTCTTAGCAAAGACAGACTAGGCCCCGCTTAGTCGAGAGCGGAGTCAATCAAGAAATGAGGCCAACAATCCTAGTCGCAACATGGCTGGCCTGTCAAACGACTTATACTTGGGCGTTTGCCCCGGAAATAGTGAAAATCGGGAGCTTTGAGAGACTCGGATGAGGGAGTGGACCACAAACCGACCACTTCCCCACGTGGACCACACACCGCAGCCGATCCATACCTTGGGTACTTTATTGCGGAGAACTGGGGCAGCTGCGGACTCGGTCTTGTTTCTCAAGGGACTTCCAATTTCATTACATCTCAACACGCTCAATTTTACGCTTTCAAACTGGTCCATGATTTCAACTTCAATTGTCATCTAAGCCATCTTCGTTGCAGTCGACTCCCTCACCACATAGCCATCCTGTCCCTCGGCATGGAGAGATCTCGATCCAGACCCTTTCTCCTCATCATCACTCCTTGACTGGGTGATTTCATCTTTACTATGCTCAATCGGAGTATGATCCTTGATGACCAGCCACGTGGGGACCACCGCAAGCCCTACGACACGCGTCATTAGTCAGCCGTCCATCGAAACGTAGCTACAAACAAGCGTGAGAAGCCATACCCAGAAGAATCGTGTTCACAGCGAGAGGAACTCGGCCTCCATACCAATCGCGGGTGTTGAGACCAAAAGACACGGCCTGAGCAAAGCTCTCCTGCCCGCGAAGGATACCCGAATAACGCGCTATGGTCGGATCAGTATAGGTAATATGATGCAGTCAGCACGTGGAGTACACACCTAGCTCAGAGATATTGTCGGTCATTGTAGCGACAAGGTAGTACATGAAGTTCTGCAGAGCTTGCTGGGAGAATTCTGGATCAAAGGACGATGTTAGTGGGACTAGATCGTACTTCAAGGGGAGCCTGGACGCACGCCAGAGAATCATCACGAAGAACCCCTTCACAAAGTCCTTGCTGGTCCAGTCCAGGACTGGAGGGTTGGCGGTGAATTGTTCTTGAACAACCCAGCCATAAGTCCAGGCTGCGATGTGGACGACGATGACGTAGTAGAAACTAGTTATCGGAGGTTAGGGGCGGGTTTGACGATTGACAGCCGCGGGCATACCTGTATGTGATCCGGCTCTTGACAGGAAGACCCTTGTAATCGAGGAATCGACTGATGATCCCGGATGATAGCAGGTTTGCAAAGTTGCCTGATTAGCGTTAGCTTGTGATCGGGATTGCTGATGGATGAGAGATCAAGTTCCAGGTGGGGCAACGTACTAACGAAGCCCATCAGAGCTCGAGCTCGGACGTTGAAATAGTAGGTTTCGAAATCTGCAGACTCATATCAGCAGGTGAAGCAGAAGCGTAGACGACTTGACTTACTGCCGATATACTGGTTGAAGTAGGCAGCCCAAAACACGGGCAACAACAAGAGGACCTAGACGCATAACATGAGCATGGGCACTTTATTGGCATGAAACATTCACTTACCTGCTTCTTACGGCAAAGCTTCCAGAGCTCGTGCATCTCAGCGCGCCATGAGCCCTGTGCGATAATCCTGACGGGACTCCCATCGCTACGTTGGACCTTTTCAGGCGGCGAAAGGAAGTATGCGACAGGAACGGCCAGACATTGCAGCGCAACGAAAATCAGATATACCTCTAGATAATGTGTCAGTCGGCGGCCGCTATACAACAATCACAATTTGCTGCAACATACCAGGCTGAACCTTGCCTTTGCCCCCAGGAGAACTGTCTCGAGTCAGCAACGTTCTGTCTAACTCGTCGGGAACCCCTACTGATTGAGACCCAGGACGATAGCACCACCCAACAACGGTCCACCGGTCCGAAACCACAGCCAGATACTATCTTGGGTCAGTCATCCTCGTAGCAGCCGGTTGTGGCGGATACTTACTTCATGTACTTGCCGCGTTTGCCGGGCTCAGGATAACCAAGTGCAACCGCACCCTCAGACGCCCAGAAAAGTCCCGCTCTGATACACGTAAGTATGAGATCGATGATACACTTGGGAAGGTTTGCACTCACGATAATCCACATGCTACCGACCCGACTAGCACGAACCAGACATTGCCCTAATCCGGTCATTAGACACAATCACAGAAACTCGCAAAGGAGAACTCACATAGCGGTTGTTCGTATACAACGCCGCGCTGCATCCTGTCAGTCTACCAAATCATCCAAAAGAACCTCCGCTCCCCGGCACATACGAGTATATCGGGTACCCGACCGCTCCCAGAAGCAAGGTCCAATTCAAGCCAATCCGGTTGGCGATCGGGGCGCCGAAAATGCACAGAAAACCCACTACCGACGGACGTCTATATGTCAGTGCCCCAGGTTCGAATGCACTTCGACACGAACTGACTCACTCAGAGCAAACACCAATGCATTGGCAGCGTTGATCAAGAACGGCGATTCCGCGCCGCCTGCACCCAAAGAGCTCATCGCATTCCACAACCCCGGGGCTAAGAAGCCCACTCCGCCGATCACAAAGGCATTGAACAACGTAGTGTGATACCATGTCCGTTTGCCCAGCTCGGGGGAGGCATTGCCGTGAAATGCCATCGCGAAAGGTCTAGAATTCGTTATGGTCAAACTCTCGACAAGTGATCCGCGAGCGCAATGTGCGTGTGTGCGAGCATATGATGGCGATCATGGCTATTTGTAGGGCGACTCGCAAGCCCTGGTTGAGATTTTTATCTCTGGTGGCACAATCCTTTGGCATTTCATTTCAAGCATCATTGACGTGCAGGATGGCGTGCTTGCAAATTTGCCGACTGCCCATCTCATGGCAAATCGTCTACAGCAATTAGTATAGTATAGTATGCTTGTTGAGGCCAATGGAGGTGGAAGTTGGCTCTGGGTGAGTGGGACGCAGAGCGGGCTGGACCGCAATTGTCCTTACGTACTTGCTTCCGATCCTAAGCGAAAATTGAGTCACTGATTCAATTAATCTCTATTAGAGGAATTATTAGTAGGGTTGAGACGTGCGAGTTTAAGCCGATGCGCATTCAACAAGTGCTGGAAAGGTGCTCGTTTCAAATTGAATCCAAAGATATTCAAAAGAGACAAAATTCAAGGTAATAATATATACGTATATAGAAGTCTGTAGTACATGCATCCCAAGGGGTATCTTTTTTTTTGAAAAAGAAAAAAAAAAAAAAAAACTGCGCCAGGAAATGTTCAATGTCGGCGAGGTGTGAGAAGGTGTGAGAAGGCCTAGGACACCAGCAATTCCTTTTTTGAGATGACTCCGACCGAAGCCCATTTTGAACAATCGAAATGAGAACAGTGAGTGTGTAGCAGCCGAATAATAAGCCATTGAGACTATAGATAGCTCGAGCAATTCGATGGACGCAAAAATATGACCGTGATAGATAGAAAGAGGTGTTAAAATCCGATACTCCCCGCTAATTGAAGCATCCATGTAAGCATTAACCCGAGAATATAAAAATAAAAGCACGAGGGGTATGAGTCCTAGTGTGACACGATGTCCAATTATTGCTGGGATCGTGTATCACCATTGGGTGGAGTGCCATTCGATTGAGCATGAGGAGACTGTGGCGAGGGTGATTGCTCTGTTAGATTTTCGTCTGCACCCGTTGGTTGGCGCCCATCAGGGTTGTCGTCCAGAGCCGGCTCCGAAGTGAAACAAGCAGCAGGAGTTGAAGCTTGATCTGGGCGATAATCATCAAAGCCCACTAGAGCCGCTGCCTCGGGATCATAGCGCAGTTCCTGATACATATTGCCATCGTCTACGCTCCAGGGCGCAGCGCTTCGAGTTTGCGGCTGGATGACTCTCAAAGGCAGATCCGTACGACCTTCAGCACGCCCCGAGGGGGCCCGCTGACTGGAGTTTGTCGTTTCTAAGATACCACTATCATTGAAATGCTGCGGCGACCAGGTTTGCTGTCCTCGCCGTCTCGCAGGAATGACAGTGACTGGCAGTGGAGAACCTGAGCCTTGACGTCCAGAGCCGGGTCGCAATCGTTTCGGGATCGGGAAGAAAGCTCCAGCTCGATTGGGTCGAGAATTGTACTCATCGTCGCTGTCGTCCGAGGGAAGGTCCGGAGGGGGATTATCCTCTCCAGTAGGATGCGATCCAGGGGCTTCTTCTCCCGCTTGTGCTGAAGCAACCTCTTTTGGCAGAGATGCGCGCCTTCGTTTGAATGGATTCAATAAAGTTCGCCACCCCTTGTCCAACTGAACAATTTGGGGAGATTGTTCTCTAGTCTGCTGTTCCGACAATCTATCATGAATTGGACCAGCTTGTTGGCTCTCCATAGCTGTTGCCATCTCCTTGGCAGCCACTTCATCGTCCATCCCCTCTTCTTCCTCCTCCATATGTGGCATCGCAACTGGTGGCGTCGGACTGGATACGGGGTGGTAATGCACGTTGTACACGGTACTGGCGGCACTTGTAGTATCGGCCCGACTGACGGGAGTGAGGGCCGCAGGTGGAGGGGTTGGCCGCGAAACAATCCTCCGGCGCCTAGCGTCAGCGGATGCAAGATTTGTCTGGTTCTCCAAGTTAGACTGCCAATTGCGCCCACCTCTGGTTCGCAGAGGACGATGAGCCAGGCCCATCATACCTCCCCAGCCGGAGGACATGCCAGCACCACCGCCGCGATCATTATTGTTGGGGTTGTAACGAGGCCAATCGACCTCCTCGGAAGGAGTTACTTCGAGCATTTCGTCTCCATCAAATATCTCCCGTCCCAAGATGCCATCCTTCCGCTCATCTCTCTCCAGAGCTTCGATCCGTTCCACCCATTCCCAGACAACGACACTCGCTGCAGCTGATCCAACCCATCGAACATAAGTACCCCACCCAGCAACCTTTGGCTTCGCCATATCCAGAACAAAAAAGACGACCGGTATAAGGACGGCGCACAGAGACAAAAGAGCCACCAAGCAGATGTTCCTCATTTTCGGATGAAAGAAAGCGAATCGGTGTTTCGAGAGAGAATAGAAAATGACCCAGG